CGCCCGCCTGCTCACCACCTCTGCTCTCCTCCCCAGGGGACAGAGGCTCGCCAGGCATGCAGGGCTTCCAGGGCATGACTGGGCTGCGGGGCCGGCCAGGGACCCCAGGCACTAAGGGTCAGGCCGGATTTTTTGGGCTGCCCGGCCCAAAGGGCCCTGCCGGCCAGCGCGGTGGGAAAGGTACGTGCCGTGGCCCTCTCAGCCACATGGGGACCCACAAACCAGTCGGGAGGAAGCCCGGCCACAGAACTCGAAGCCCTGGAGCATGGGGCTGGGCCTGGCGAGGCTGCATCTTGTACTTTTTGTTAGCTCGCGTTGCAGCTGGCAGCGTCACCAACCTGGGGCCCTGCCGTAGCACAGCGTCACTCTCTGTGGGCCTTCCCTGCCCTCTCCCGTCTCCTGGCCCCGTCCCACAGGAAGAGGACCTGTCTGTGTCCTGTTCTCTGCCTTTGGCTCCTCTCTAATGCACTTCTGATTTGGCTTCTCACGTAGAGAAACTGCAGCACACTTACTCTCTGTGCCCTTCCTTAGCCCTGTGGCCTCAAGGTGCCTCCATTCCCTTACGCGAGCCTCAAGGTTACCCTTCTGTGTGGCAGAGGAGCGCTCCGTTGCGTGTAAACATGTTTGCTCACACACTCATCGGTCATAGAGGCCGCTTCCGGACTGTGCTGCTGTAAACCTGGGTGTGCATGGGTCACTAGTGTGGTGGGCAGGGGGCCAACAAGGCCGTGGAACGTGCCGCGTGACCGACACAGCCAGCTGAGGGGAGGCAGCAGGTGCCAAAGGCCGCAGAGAGGCCCAGGGTCCCGGCAGGGGCGGACGCCACACCCCAGAGACTGCGCAGGCGTCTAGACCCAGCACCCGGTCCGGGCTGAGGTCCCAGGATGGCCTCTGCTTCCTTCCAGGCAACCGTGGGGAGCCCGGCCCCCCAGGTCCCCCTCCGGTCATCATGCCAGGGATGAAGTTCATCAAGGGCGAGAAGGGCGACGAGGGGCCCATGGGGCTGAAGGGGTACCTGGGCTTGAAAGGTGAGGCCCCAGTCTCTGGCCCAGCGTCCACCCGGGACCCTGTCCTAGGGGCAGCGAGGCCTGGGGCAGGCTGGTCCCCTGACACGCCCTCTCCCTACAGGCCTCCAAGGCATGCCCGGCATCCCGGGGCAGGCTGGAGTCCCGGGGCTGCCCGGAAGGCCCGGCCACGTCAAAGGCACCAAAGGGGACATCGGCGTACCTGGCTCACCTGGCCTGCCTGGCTTCCCTGGGGTGACCGGTCCCCCCGGGATCATCGGGTTTCCCGGATTCACAGGCGCGCGGGTGAGTGCAGGGCTCCTCCACGCAGCTCAGCATCCGTGGGGGTGGCAGTGGCCACACACAGGGGCAGAGCCACCACCCAGGCCATGCTGGACCACGCTGGCTCAGCCCAGCCACCCTTCCGGGTCTCTGGTGCAGGCGGCGAGCGGCTGTGTCCTCTCACGGCCCATGAAGGAGCAGAGCTAGAGTCCCTGGGCAGCTCCACCCTGGGCGGGACCGGCTGCAGACCCCACTGCTGCTGGGAGCACAGGGAGCGAGGCACAGGCACCCTTCTAAGTGGTTTCCTATGGCTTCTCCACAGGGTGACAAGGGTGCTACGGGAAGCACAGGCCTGTATGGAAAGCTGGGCCTGACCGGGGACTTTGGTGAGTGTTGGTGTCTCAAACAGGACAGCTGGGCGTCCCCATCCCAGGCTCCTGGGCCCAGAGGTGGTGTTAGACCTGCGAGTCCTCTGAAGCCATGTTCATGTTGATATTAGGGGAGCCAGGCATATGATGGCGCATGCCTGTCATCTCAACCCTCAGGAGGCTGAGGCAGGAGGATCGCCTTGAGTTCAAGGGCTACATAGTGATTTCAAGCCCAGCCTGAACTACATGGCGAGATTCTGACTCAAAAAAAAAAAAGAAACAAAACAAAATGAGGGCACAACAGAAGAAGCAAAAGCTACCACCTTCCCACTAGAGGCCTCTTTTCAGCCAACTTTTCTTCGTGTGACAGGTGACGCTGGAGACACGATTAATTTACCAGGAAGCCCGGGCCTGAAGGGAGAGCGTGGCGTCAGCGGGACCCCAGGTACACAGCACTCTCCGTTCCACTGGCCCCTGCTACCAGTGCATCCCCCCGGCTCCCATGTGCTTCCTGCTGAGGGCCCCTCGGGCCTGGTGCCCAGAGGCCAGGGTGACATGGGGACTGAGGTTATGGGCCTGCGCTCACATTGCTGTGGTACCTGAGGGTCACTGGGTGCAGGCCTGGGGCCCCCGTGAGCAGAGTCCAGCAAGAGCAGGTGTGGACATATGGTGGCCAGCGTCCCCAGAAGTTGTGCGAGCTGGGGCCTGTGGGGCCTGGGTGTGCACGTCCTGAGCCGCCTGCTGTGTTCCAGGGCTGAAGGGATTCTTCGGAGAGAGAGGGACCCACGGCGAGGTCGGCTTCCCGGGCATCACAGGCCTGGCGGGACCCCAAGGCCCGCCTGGACTCAAAGGACAGACAGGTGAGCCCAGCTCTGCCCACTCTGCACCTACTTATCCAGCTCCGCCAGAGGGGACCCGGGAGGAACAGTGCAGCAACACCACGTTGTGGGTTTGTCCACCCACTACCCCCATGGGTAGCGAGCCACTGGAGCCATCCTTGCTGTGCTGAGGCTACCACTGCTCTTCTGGGCACCCTGCACCCGGCTCAGGAGGGCAACTCTCTAGCACCGCTCCACAGTCCTACAGACTGGGGTCTGCGTGACAGGGCAAGAATAAAAACCACACAGCACTCTGGAGGCTGAGACAGGAGGGTCTCAAGTGCAAGCCCAGCCAGGACAATTCAGCAATTTAGCAAGACCCTGTCTGAAAAGAAAAAATATAAAGGGCTAGGGATGCAGCTCAGTGTAGTCTTGAGTTCAGTCCCCAGTGCCACAACACGTGCACATGCTCATACACACACACACACACACACACACTTCCTTCTCCTTAGTCAGGCTGCGCTAACCCCACTGAACTTGCCACAAGCTTTCCAGGTGGGGACAAGGACCATTGCCCATTTCTCTTGCAGCTTGGAGCTGTAGCCCAGGTCTGAACTAGTGCCCTGTTTCCCTCCAGGCTTCCCAGGACTAACAGGGCTGCAGGGGCCACAGGGAGACCCGGGACAGACTGGATTCCCTGGAGAGAAAGGAGCTGACGGCTGGCCCGGCGTGCCAGGCTTGCCAGGTGAGGAGACCACCCCTGCCCCCATGGACTTGCATGGTGCCGATCAGGACAGTGCAGCTGGGGGTTCCGGGCCCCGGCTCCATGCCCGCTCAGAACTAAAGACGGGCCTGTGAGCCTGAGACCTGCCGTGGGCCAGCCACACAGTGCCACCTTGTGCAGTGTACAAGTTTATAATCTCAGCTCTCAGGAGTCTGAGGCAGGAGGACTGCAAGTCCGAAGCCAGCCTGGAATATACAGTGAGACCCTGTCTCAAAAATATAAAAATAAAAACCAGAAATACTTATTCGGAGGGAGTGGGAATAATGCTGGGCTATGTGCAAAACAGGCCTTTAGAAATCACATATGGCACTAAATAGAGGAGAGGAGGGGTGAAGGGAGGGCAGGGACAAGGGGAAAAAATGAGAACCAAGACCTGTCATGTAGAGGTACAAGATCCCAGTGATGAATGAAACTGTACTGTAGACCTAAAATGTACCAGTTAACTCAATGAGAAAAAAAAGAAAAGAAAGAAATCACATATGGTACGCCTGTAATCCCAGTGCTGGGGAGGCTGAGTTCGAGGCTAGCCTGGGCTACATAGGAGGACCCTGTCTCAAACAAAGAGTGGGGAGGAAGTACATAGTTCCGGGGCAAGGCCACGGAGGGAAGCAGCGCTCACCCGGCCTGCCAGCTGCAGGGAGCCCTAACAGCACCCGTGTAGGCAACAGGTAGTGTGGGCCCCAGTCCTGCTGGCCTTGGTAGCAGCTCCTTGAGGGGGCAGAGTCACAGCCAGAGGACCGTTCTGGGCCACCCTGGGCACCCACGGCAGCACCCTCCCATCTCCCGCAGGTTTCCCGGGGCTGCGCGGCATCGGTGGACTGCACGGCCTGCCGGGTCCCAAGGGCTTCACCGGCTCCCCAGGTAAGGGGCCCAGTGCGCCCGGGATACGGGGGCTGCTGCTTACCTTTCGGTTCATGAGAGCTGGCCATGATCAGTGAGAGGAACGGTGTAAATACTCAGGCTTTCCTGTGCAAGGGCTCTGCGCAGTACAGTGGGGACCCAGGACGCGATGGGGACTCGGCCTGCTCCGCTCCATCCCCTCCCTCCTGTTCTTGCTCACTGTGCTCCCCGGTCACACTCGGCGTCTGCGAGAGAAGCCGTAGCTGTGTGAGCTGTGCGTCTGGCCACGGTCTCGGTTCCCCGTTCCCCCAGATGCCTCGGGCTTGTGCCTCTTCATGGCAGAGTAGTTAAAATACATTTAACCGGGAGAAAAACACCATGCAGACCCCTGCAGCTTTTCTCCACGTGCACTCTTTCCGATGTGTCTTTAACCGCACACTGGCTTCCCTGCACGTGGGTGGGTGTGCGCAAATTCTCGGGAACGGGCGTTTCTGGTTCCGGGGTGCACCGAGGAAGTCCTGGCAGGACGACAGTGGGCAGGGACGGGTCCCAGTGCCGAGTGCCCGAAACCCAGCAAAGCATAGTGTCGGCACGGCCCGGAGCAGGGAGCTGGGGACCGTCCGGCTCTTGGCCACCCACTTACGTACACGGGCCCCTCTGGGGACCCCGCTGTCCTGAGGATGCAGGCTGAGGTCAGAGCAAGGACTCCCAGCTGACTCCTCACACAACACTGGAAGTCACCGCGGCTTCTGTCCCTGCAGGTGCTGACATGCCCGGAGACCCAGGCTTCCCCGGCCCCGCGGGGGACAGAGGTGACCCCGGAGAGCCCAACACCTTCCCAGGCATCACAGGTGCCCCCGGACCAAAGGGGGAGCAGGGAGCCCCAGGTAAGACCGAGTTCCAGCCACGTGGGTCACTCGCTGTCCCCTCTGAACCACCTGTCCCCGCCCTGGGCCCAAGAGCATCAGTCAGAGAGGACAGCAGTGACTGCGGCCAGGGCAGGGGCAGAGTCCAGGGACAAGGGGCCCTGGGCGAGGACGGCACTGTGGGATGACCCCAGAGGCACCTAGGCCCACAGGTGGTGTCCCGAGCAGGAGGCACTGGGAGAGGGGGCCCTCCTGGCCCGGTCGCAGCAGCTCCATCCTCCACCCTGGCCACTATCCTGGGTGACCCTGGGCCCCGGAGGCGGAATGAGTGGAAGAGGTGAGTTTGGAGAGCGGGCACTGGCTCTAAGCACGGCCCTCCAACCTGCAGGGGCGCGAGGACCGGCCGGGAGACCCGGGATGCAGGGGTTCCCCGGCATCAGCCCACCCTCCAATTTCTCCGGGCTGCCAGGCGACACGGGGTCGCCGGGGATCTTTGGCCTGGAAGGTGAGTGGTGGGCGGGGCCCTCTGACCGGTGGGACGCACTCCTGCCCACGGTGTCACCACGCGGCCCCTGTGGGCTCCTTCCCTGCACGACACAGTCCCCACAAAGCCTAGTGTAGGACGTGTCCACAGCTCTCGTAAGGCAGCTTCTCCTCCTCACTCAGCTGCTGGATTCCCAAACACAGAGCAGCTGAGTGCTCAAAAGAGCTATCCTAGAGCAGAAGCGGCCCCAGTGTCCATCCACAGATGAAGGAATGAGCTCAAATGTGTCACACGTCGTGGAATATTACGCAGCCTTAAAAAGGGGGAAACACTGATGCTCTCACTACAACACAGTGAACCCTGAGGACAAGACGCTTAGGGAGACAAGGTGGTCATAGAATGACACATACTATGTGCTTCCACCCTCACGGGGTCCCAAATCCATACACCAGGAAGTAGAGGGCCCAGGGTGAGGGGGGCTGGGCATGTGGTAGTTAGTACTTAATATGGACAGAGTGTTGGCCTAGATCCTGGTCTCTAGGGTGACTAAAAGTTCTGCAGATGTAGCCAGGTGTGATGGCGCACACCTGCTATCTCGGAACTCAGGAGGCTGAGGCAGGAAGATCACCACGAGTTTGAGGCCAGCCTGGACTATACAGCAAGACCTTGTTTCAATAAAAAACAAAGTGAAGTCTGGAGATGGATAGTGTGATGCGTGCCAACAGCGGAATGTGCTAAGCACCACTGAAATGTGGACTTAAAGATGGTCAGTGTGGAAAACTTTAGGTCACCACAATGTCTTTACAAAGAGATAAAGTCTCCGAGAGACCCAGGGCTCCTAAGCGGGTGGCGGCAGCCCCATCTGAACTCTGCTTTCTGTGCCTGTCACCCGCAGGTTACCAAGGCCCCCAGGGACCCCCGGGGCCAGCCGCCCTGCCGGGAAGCAAAGGCGATGCTGGGAGCGGGGGAGCCCCAGGGGTCACAGGCACCAAAGGCTGGGTCGGAGACCCGGGGCCCCAGGGCCGGCCGGGCGTGTTCGGAGTCCCAGGAGAGAAAGGTAACGCTGGTGCCAGCACCGGGGCGGAGCTGCGAGCCCCTCTGGACACACCGCCCTGACCTCTGCCCCTCTGCCCCTCAGGGCCCAAGGGTGAGCCCGGACTCATGGGCAGCACCGGACCCACCGGGGCTGCGGGCGACAGAGGCCCCAAGGGGCCCAAAGGAGACCAGGGATTCCCCGGTGAGTGGCCAGCCTGTGGCAGGGCCGGCGTCCTCCGTGGTGAGCTGTGACACTCCCGGCACTCACGGCCCCTTCTTCCCCACAGGAGCCCCCGGCTCTGTGGGGTCCCCAGGGATTGCCGGCATCCCCCAGAGGATCGTCGCCCCTCCTGGGGCCATGGGTCCCGAGGGCAGGAGGGGTCCTCCCGGCGCTCAGGGGGAGATGGGGCCACAGGGCCCCCCCGGAGACCCAGGTAGGAGGCCGTGGGTGTCCGCCTCCGTCCCATGGGCTGGCCCCGACACCCTGAGCACAGTGACCTCTCCCCGTCCCCCTCTCTCACCTGGTGTCTCGCAGGTTTCCGTGGGGTACCAGGGAAGACTGGGCCCCAGGGACGCGGTGGTGTGTCTGCTCTGCCTGGGTTCCGGGGAGACCCAGGGCCCGTGGGGCACCAGGGCCCGACTGGCCAAGAAGGTGGGTGATGGGCACTGGAGGGGGGGTTGAAGAGGAGCAGGAGGGTCACACAGAAGGTGGGAACCGGGACCCTGCTGGACCAGCCAGGGCTGTGTGCAGGGACACAGCCTCCCCTTACCTGAGTGACCATCGGCTCCGAAGTCACATTCACAAGGACCCCAAGGGACAGACAGGAGAGAGAGACCCCTGAGTTAGCAGTGATGACACAGTGGGGTGTTTGCTCAGACAGCTCCGGACCGAGCACAGCAATCCCCAAGGCCCGTCCTGACCAGCCCAGGCCAGGCTCAGGGCAGGAGCGGCTGCCTGGAACATCAACCACTGGCACCTTAGCATCCAGACCCCAGGGACAGAGCCAGCGCTGGGCTGGGCCTCGGCCAGCGGGTGTGACACTGTCCCGAGGATGTCAGGGTGTCCCCGGCCAGCTGCTCTCCAGCTGTGGGGGTTGTGCAAGGCACGCTGGGCAGAGTGGCAGGCATGGGGTGGGGGGGCCGGTCTATCCAAGTGGCCGAGCCCACCCTGGGGAGAGTGAAGGGTCAGCACCCCTGGGCTGGCAGTTGAGCGGTGCTTTCTCCGGCCCTAGGGGAGCCCGGCCGCCCAGGGAGCCCAGGGCTGCCTGGCATGCCCGGCCGCAGCGTGAGCATCGGCTACCTGCTGGTGAAGCACAGCCAGACGGACCAGGAGCCCATGTGCCCGGTGGGCATGAGTAAGCTGTGGAGCGGCTACAGCCTGCTGTACTTCGAAGGCCAGGAGAAGGCCCACAACCAGGACCTGGGTAGGCGCTCCGGGCCCCAGGCACCAGGCACCACTCTGGGACACACCGCTGAGGGACCTCTAGTTCTCTCTGCCCTTTGCCCAGACAGAACAGAGAAGCCCTGGCTCGGGCTAGCTCCAGGGTATCGCAAGCAAGCAAAGCCCTCGACTGGGGTACCATGTGGGCTTCTCCGGGCTGGCACTACTAAGAACCCCCAAGAAAAGCCAGGGGGTGGCACACGCCTGTAATCCCAGCCCTTGGGAGGCTGAGGCAGGAGGATCACCTGTAGTTCAAGGCTAATCCGGACTGCATAGCGAGAGCCTCTCTCAAAAAACAAACAAGAAGCCCCAAGAGAGTTGCGCCCCCCAGCACCCCCGCCCATTGCCACAGCTGCCTGGTGACCCCACCCGGCCAGAGGGCTGCAGGAAGCCAGCGATTGCAGAGCCAGCTTGGCCTGCACAGTAAAGATGTAGCCCGGCAGGGGAGCAGCCCAGGGTACAGCTGGGTCCCAACCCTGGCACAAGAGGGGCCGGGAGCCCACACACGGCCCCAGCCGGCTCCTGCTCCCTCCCGCAGGCCTGGCCGGCTCCTGCCTCGCACGGTTCAGCACCATGCCCTTCCTCTACTGCAACCCCGGGGATGTCTGCTACTACGCCAGCCGCAACGACAAGTCCTACTGGCTGTCCACCACCGCCCCACTGCCCATGATGCCCGTGGCCGAGGACGACATCAGGCCCTACATCAGCCGCTGCTCTGTGTGCGAGGCCCCAGCCGTCGCCATTGCGGTGCACAGCCAGGACGTGTCCATCCCTCACTGCCCGGCGGGCTGGCGGAGCCTGTGGATCGGGTATTCCTTCCTCATGGTACGTGGCACACTCGCTCGCGCTCTCCCTCTGTCCCCTCCCAGTCCTGGCCCAGCGTCGCCTCATGTGTCCTCGGCCCGGGAAGCAGCCTTGGTTAGGGCCCAGGTCACCTGGCCCGAGCGGCCTCCACCCAGCCGGCACCCTGGTCTGGGTCAGGGGCACCCTCTTCTGAAGCCGGTGACCCGAGGTGAGGTCGGGCCTCCCACTCCCCAGGAGAAGCCAAAATGTTTGTGCCAGAAGAAGAACTTTTAAGTGAACCCCAAATTGGTTCCTTGCAAATCCAGAAGCCTCAGGGTCTAATTGCTCAGTTAACCTCTGCTAGCAAAACACTTTAATCACACAAGGAATGCCTATCTCACAGAAAGATCATCATGTACTGTTTCTTGTTGTTTTTCTTAAGAAAATTACCATTAGGGCCGCTCCTCCCTCTGTGCAGCACTTCCAGAGGAAGGGCTGGGAGCAAGCACTTTGGTGCTTTCTTCCAATCTGCTAACTGCAGGTCCACATTTAATTTCGGTTTTCTTTTATGGTACTGGAGACTGCATCCTCAGCCCGGGCACAGGGCTACCTCCCCAGCCTTTTTAAAATTTTTTTTATTTTCAAGACAGGGTCTCACTAAGTTACTAACTTGCCAGGCTGGGCTGGAACTTGCAATCCTCCTGTCTCCGCCTCCCTGGGTGCCACCAGGGGTGTGCCACCAGAGCTGGCTATTTTTTATTTTATTTTATATTTTCATCTCCTCAGCCAGGCATTTGTCTCCGAGTGAGGTTGGGTAGTTTTGCTTAGGTTCTGGTTTTATGGAAGCACAGTCATCCATGTCCTGGTGAGGCCTGCATCCTCGGCTCCCGAGGTTTTTGCCCTGGTTTGGGTTTGTGGCCTGGCCTGCTCCGCAGCGCCCTCTGGCGGCCGGACCGCGCTCCGCACCGGCAGCAGCCAGCTCCTGACCTGCCCGCTCACCCCACAGCACACAGCAGCCGGGGATGAAGGCGGAGGCCAGTCGCTAATGTCGCCAGGCAGCTGTCTGGAGGACTTCCGCGCCACGCCATTCATCGAGTGCAACGGGGGCCGCGGGACCTGCCACTACTTCGCCAACAAGTACAGCTTCTGGCTGACCACCATCCCCGAGACCAGCTTCCAGGGCTCGCCGTCGGCCGACACACTCAAGGCGGGTCTCATCCGCACGCACATCAGCCGCTGTCAGGTGTGCATGAAGAACCTGTGAGCGTGGGCTGCTGGCGTGGTGCTGTCCCCAGACGCCGGCCGGCCCTACCCTGCCGTCCCGAGAGAACCTTGGCCTGCGTGGACGGCCACATGGTGCACTGTGACCCCACCTCCGGCTGGCTGACCGTGGACCTGTCCCCCACCCCCTTCCCCACAGCCAGCCACCCCCTCTGCCCGTCCCAAGTAACAGCCTTAAATAAAAGTTGGTTTTTAACATTTCTAACCCCAAGTGTTGCCTGCCGTCACTTCTCAAGTATTTGTTTAGAACTGTTGAGCGCAAGAGGTCTCCAGCCTGACCCCATGAGGGCTGCAGCTCATTTCCGGGGACTATGTCGCTCCCTCCCAGGCAAGAAACACCCCACACACGGGTGTGTCACAGACGCCGGCCCTGGCCGCACAGGGTTATTCAACCCTTTGAAAATCAACCTCATCTTAAAGTGATTCCAAGAGAAAAAAATCCACATAGCGAAATAAGTGTTGCCCCTTCTCCTGGGGGTGGGTGAGTACAGGGTGGGTTTGGTCCCTGGAGCCCAGGGACAGGACCCCCAGGGGCCGCTGGGTGGGCAGGAGCCCAGAGGGGAAGCAGGTGTCACTCAGGAGGCTGAGGCAGGCACAGCTCAGTCCCAGGGCCCACAGGGAGCTTCAGGGCCTCAATGTCCAGCCACCTCACAAGGGAGGGGTCTTTGTCCCTGATCCCATCCCTGCTGATCAGGGATCCCCTCTTGCACCCCATCCAGCAGCTGGGGCAGGACAGCAGGGAGCTTGGAAAGCTGGAGCTTCCTACCCAGGCCACACCTGGACATGCTTGGTTGCTGGACGATCTAGCAACATAGTATCTCAAAAAATAAAATAAAATAAAATAAAAGGGATGGGGGAGCCATGCGTGGTAGCACACACCTATAATCCTAGCACTTGGGAGGCTGAGGCAGGAGGATGGACACAAATTTGAGGTCAGCCTGGGATACATATAGTGAGTTCAAGGCCAGCCTGAACTACATAATGAGACCCTGTCTCAAAAGAACAAAGTAGGGCTGGGGATTTAGCTCAGTGGTTTTGTCACCTGCCTCGCAAGAGCAAGGACTGAGTTCGATCCCCGGTACCAAAATAAAAAGAACAAAATAAAGAGTGGTGGGGATGCAGTTCAGTGTAAAAGCCCTGGGTTCGATGCCCAGGCCTGAAAATGACAAATAAAATTTAAAATCTCATTTTTAAGCAAACACGGGTGCAGACGGCACCATGCAGGCAGATGAACGGGGCGCAGTCGTGCACGCACATGGTTCTTCACTCTGCCAGCCATGCAGGCCCAGCAGCGAAGTGCAGGCGACGCAAGCCGGAACTTCTAAGACCAAGCTGACTCTAGGCTGCTGTTTCCTGAGCGCCAGCTGCACCTGCACTGCTGGCCGCGGGTCCCCACTGCCCGGGACCTGGGAACCTCTGCCTGCAGCGAGTAGGGACACTGGGCGCACGGGAGGGCTCAAGCCCCAGGCAAACCCGAGGGTGCCCAACGGCCACCACCAGCCCCTCTGCTGACAGCCTCGGGTCCCACTGGCAAGGGTGAACCCTATTGGGGCCGGGCAGTGAGGCAGGGCGCCCCAAGCCGCGCGGGGTCCTTGCCTGCTTGAGCTGCCTTCCTCCAGGACTCAGCTTCGGGCCTGCGTGACCACCACAGGGCTAGCAGGGGACAGGGGAGGGCAGGCGCCACAGCCTGAGCAGCCGCAAGAGAGCCACCACAGCCAAGGATTGTCCAGCGGGACCGGGAGGGGCGGGGCCTGAAGGGCAGAGGGGTCAAGGAAACCTGGGGCGTCTCTCTCCAGCCTGGCAAACCGGTCTTCCGAGGCGGAGGCGCTGTGGTCTCAGTTCCGCATCCTTGGCAAGGGCCAAGCAGTGGGCCCTTACCCAAAGGTAAGGGAGGGACAGATGTGCAGCGCGAAGGCCTGTGGAGGTCCGGGGAAACGGGCAGGCAGGAGGGCGAGGATCCTGATAGCAGGGTGCCTGCGCTGGACATCCGAACATGGCGACACGGGCCTGTAACCCAGTACTCCAGAGGCTGAGGCAAGAGGGCAGCAGGTTCCAGTCCTGGGCAACCTGGGGACGGTGTGACCCTGTCTGGAAACTTGGAAAAGGACGGGGACCTGCTCCGCACGGAGGGCTTCCCTGGTGCGGTGAGGCCCTGCACTGTCACTGCAGAAGCAAACCACCAGACTGCTGAGCTGGCCAAGGGGGGGACCGTTCACTGCCCCACCCCCTCGGCTCAGGGTGGAGCCTGGCCGTGTCGCAAGGACAGTGTCGTCCTGTCCTTCTCACCAAGCCAGGCCTCCACGCAGAGCCCCAAAACCCGAAGAGGGGCTCCGACGGTGTGGCAAAGCTCACAAGCGCTGTCTGTCCAGACACCGGGAGCCTGGGGTACGTGTGTACCCGTGTGCAAGTGCAGGTGTGAGGACACACCCACAGGAGCAGGCAGTCAGTGCCACCTCGGGGGCAGGGGGCCCCACAGAAAGCACTCTGTCCAGGGGCGGCTGCTCCCTGGGAGGCAAGCGAGGAGCCAGGCTGGGTCAGAGTACACTCAGGGCAGAACCGGCTGGGGGCGGCACAGGGACCAGAGTCGGCCATGCCAGCTGCTCAGGGAACTGGCTTACAGGGCCCTACAGTGACTGTATTTCCAGAACAAAAAGTACAGGGTGAATATTCAAGTGGAACTGACGTCACTCATGCACTCCAGCCACCAGACACACGGTCGACCAGGAACAAGCTGGGCGCGCTCGGGGCAGATGGTAAATCAATCAGAAAATATTTGAGAAGAAATTCTGAAATGCACACACCTGTAGTCCTAGCCCTCTGGGAGGCTGAGGCAGGAGGATTGCGAGTTCAAGCCTAGGCTGGGAAACTCAGCAACTTCGTTAGTGAGACTGTCTCAAAATAAAAAAATTTTAAGAGGCTGAGGATGCAGTTCACTGCAGAGGCCCTAGGTTCAATTCCCATACAAGAAAGAAAGAGAAGAAAGGAGGGAGAGAGGAAGGGAAGGAAAGGAATTCTTCCAGTCCTTCCCTGCCTTCAAACAGGAACTACAAGGATAACATCTGACACCTTTTCTCCTCTGTAGCTTCAAAGAAAGACACCAGCGTCTCTGGGTGCAAATCAGCAGTCCCAACACCAGGCTTTTCCCAAAATCTATTTTAATAAGACATGAGGCCTGCGCGGGTTCCACCAATATAAAATCATTCCTGACTGTATAAATAGACATGGAGAATCGCTACGTGAGGCACCGAGCCCGGGGAAGGACCTGGGAGAGTCGGGGTGGAGAAACACGAGGGCAGCCGCAGGCCACAAAGGTGCCCAGCTCGGTGACCATGCAGGCGCGGGCAGGGGCCACACAGCTGCCAGGCCACGGGCTCCACAGTGCAAGGACAAGAGTCACCCTGGGGCCGGAGGGCAGCATGGGTGTCCCAGCTCCGCAGCTGTCCATGACAGTGACTATGTGACCCGCGGTCACCTCCACCCCTCTGTCCCCTCGGTGCGTGGTTTGATGGCGCCACCCCGATTCCCCGTGCCCCTCTCAGGAAGAGCAGCACCCAGGTCTGGTCCGTGTGGGGGGCTTGTGGCTCGTGATGTCCACAGTCCCCACTGGCTCCTCCACCTTCTGCCCCTCGACCATCGGCACCACCATGTCGAACACAGTCTCGAACAGCAGGTCCACGTTGTGCCCCGTCTTGGCGCTGGTCTCAAAGCACATCTGCTCGGCGGCTGGCACGTCCCTCTCGTCCAGCATTCTGTACCTGAGGATCTTCTTGTACAGGGCCACTGCATCCTCCCGCAACACCTGCTTGGGCACGGTGCGGGCGCCACCCGCCTCCCCGGCCTCATCCGTGAGGTCCACCTTGTTGCCCACGATGATGAACAGGCAGTCCTCGTTGGCAGAGTCGGTCAGGCCCAGGAACCTGTCCTCCAGCTCCACCAGGCTCTGTGGGTGCGTCACGTCGTAGGTGAGGATGACGGCAGCCGCGCCCCGGCAGTACATGGAACCCAGGCCGTGGAACTGCTCCCGCCCTGGGAGAGAAGGGGAGAAGTCAGCACTCAGGCCGGGAGCCGCAATCCACCCCAACGGGACAGGCCTGCTGTGGCCGGACACGAAAGGCCAGGGACACCTGCGGACAGAGGAGGGGGTGACCGAATGAGGACCAACCCAAGAGCCTGGCCTCCAGACCCAGGCACAGCAGGGCCAGTTCCACTCGGGGACCCGGGCTCAGGGCCACAGGAAGCAGTGCATACAGCACCAATCCCACAGGCCACCACCGACACTCGAGCGCAGGACGCACGGCGCAGCGTGTCCTCTCCTCGGAGTGTGCTGCTTCTTTCTTTCCACTCTGGCTTTTAGGGGGTGTTGGTTGTTTGTAGTTCACACTGGCCTTGAACTCTCAGCAATACTGCCTCAGTCTCTCAAGTGCTGGGATGACAGCATGAGCCCCCACACCCAGGCCACAGGACCTCTTCAGAGATGTTTAGATCTACGACGCCCCAAGGCTCTCGATTCCTGGTGTCACCCTCTGTGCCACATGCAGCAGCCGCACTAGGCGACTCTGCTTCTGAGGAATCCCTGTGCCACTGTCTGCAGCAAAGCCTTCTGGAGCTGGGGTGGGCAGGTCACTGGTCAGTGAGGGGTGCAGGTCACACAGTGGACACTCACAGACAGCGGGGCCTGTTGCTTCTGGTGTAGCCTGTAGCATCTGAGATAGGCACCTTCCGGATGCTGGAACACAGATGGTGCCCCTAACAGCATGGGCAACCAAGCCAGCCGGGGCCTTACAGCCCATTTTTGTTCCAACCTGTGTCAGGGCCCCCAAGGCCTCTTGCACTCGTAGGTGGGGCTTTTTGGAGCTGGCTGTAGGTGTGTGACACTGGGATTAAGGGTGTGTGGTACCAAATTTGTCCCCTGATGAGAATTAGTAGGTTCTGGGTGTGGGCAATGGGAAGGCCCAGGTTGGGTGTGAGTGGCACCACCAAAAGCCTTGAAGCCTGGATGGGATAAAAGGGAAAGGGAGGCTCGCTGTGCTACTGCCACCTCCTATCTGCCCTACCATGGGCTGCTTTTCCTCTGCGATGTCCCTCTGCCATGCCGCCCTGCCTTGGAGTCAGCCAACTATGGATTGAAACCACTGCGCTACAATAAACTATTCTTCAACTTGTGTCAAGTATTTTGTCCCAGCAATGCAAAAAGTAACTGAGACACCTACTTTCCCTCTAACTTTCCAACTCAAACTTTTATTTCTGTAAATTCTTGCTTTACTTTTCGTTTCTATTATTACTGAAACCAAGATCCAAAACCCACTCCCACATCTCCAGTATTCAATACACACCAGGCCAGAAGCCGATGCAGCTCCAGCTCTCCTGCCTTCACTCCACATCCTTGAAGCTGAGCTTGGCCTGGACGACTCTCGGGGCCTCCCCATGGCAATGGGCCAGTCATCCAGAGATCTCTTGACCTCTCCTAGACCCAGGTCCCTGGACGCTCATCCCAGAGCCAGAATGAGGGCAGCCCGGCGTCCCCATAGACCTGAGCATCCCTGCGTCCCACCGTGAGGATGAGAGCCAGTCGGAAGGGAACGCCTCAGGCTGGTTCCAGCTCAGCTCAGCAAAAGCGGCAGGGCCAGAGACCGAGGAGGCCTGGTCAGGGCAGTGAGGCCACCATCCACACGTGCTCTGCTGGGGGCCGCGGCCTGTCCAGAGGGACTGGGGTCAGGAACTGACTTGTCCAGGGAGCACATTCGCTTGCCTTAAGTTGCCAACTGTTGATACATGGACACTAATTGTGACCGGTGGTCAAGGAAGACGCATCCAGAGCAAGGGGGCACACACACCAAGCACACCCTGAACCAGACAGTGATCTGCAGCACGGGAGGGGACAGACGACAGGGCCGCTGGGCTTCACACTGCTCTGCTGTTCAGATCCGCAGGCCCAGGACACAATCTCTCCACACAGAGGGACACAGCCCAGATGGCCCAGCATATGAGTCCTGGCAGGAAGGAACCCGCTGAGGGTACATGTGTCCCAGGACACAGGAGACTGGCCAGTGTCCCTCTTCCCAGTACCTCCAAAATGACCTCTGGAGATGCCACCTGCTGGACCTGTAGGGCGACCCCCAAAGGAGCCTGACTCTGAGGACAGTCTGCCTTCACTCTCCCGTGGCAGCTGAGCCAAGTCGCCACATGGATCTCCCGTGGCCAGAGTGTGGGCCTCTGCCTAGGTGGCCATGAGCAGTGTGACTCTGCTCATCGGAAATCTGTGGGTGTTGGCCCAAGGTGAACTTCTGCTAAAGGAATCTCAAGGCTACCCACAGGCCCCATCGTAGGTCATCTGTGGACCTCTTAGGCCCCACTAGCCGGCAATGCCCTGTTTTTTTCCTTGCTCCAGTGGTGACCGATCTGGAGTGCTTATCACATGGCTGCATCACCAGCTGCAGAGTGGAAAACAGCCCAGAGGCAGACAGGCAGGAGGAAAAGAAAACAGGAGCCTGAGGGCACCCCCAGCACTGCTACAGACTGAGCCCCACCCACCCACTCTGCCAGGCGGGAGTCCAAACAAGGGCTGGCAGGGCCAAGGGTCCACGGCTCAAGCCACTGAGCCAGTGGTTGGCTGGCAGAAGCCACACACAGCTCTGCCCATGTGTTGTGAATACCGGGTGGGGGCTCTTAAAAGCACCGGCCCCAGATCCCAAGGGCCAGAGCAGGGCATTCCCAGAGCCCCTCCACATCCCCAGCAGCCAGGCAGAAGCAGGAATATGGAAGTTACAGGGGTTCAAGGCTTCTCTGGCACAGGTGAGCCCTGGCTTCCATCCCAGCACCGCAAGAAATAAGTAAAGAAATGTTTAAAAGACAGTTCCTGAAACGTGAGAATGAGAATGCATAATGCTTGGTTCTGCCAAAAAGTAAGACTTCCCAGGAAATGAAGATTTTGGCAATGATAGGGAAAGGGATTTAGAATGAGCTCTCCAAAATAAACAATAGGTGATGGGCAGCGGTGGCACAAACATGTGATTCCAGCACTCGTAGGCTGAGGCAGGAGGATCATCACCATGTGTTTGAGACCATCCTGGCCTACACAGTTCAAGGCCAGCCTGAACTACACCATAATGAGATCCTGTCTCAAAATAAAAAAAAAAACACAACAGGAAAGAGAGACAGATCTTTTGTGCACAGGAAGAAGACCGAGTTGGAGGGGAGAAGTAGTAAAAAGAACTAAGACATGGGCTGGGGATGTAGCTCAGTGGCACTGTGCCTGCCTTGCAAGGTCCAGAGTTTGATCCCCCGTACTGAGGTGTTGTGTCCTTGCTCCAGTCCCCACGATGTGTCCTCGTCATGTGCTGCGAACGTGGACAGAGACTTTAAAGCACAGACTCCGGCGCGGGGCCCTCGCTGGTGCGTCCCGGAAGACCCGTCTGCACGTGCGTCTGGTTGTGAGCATGCGCACTGAGGGCGAGCAGCTCTTCCCGAGGGGCCGGAAGTGCGGCTGGCGTCCTCTGTGGCAGGAAAGCTCTGGCTGCCGGGTCTGGCCAGTGCAGCCGCACCCCAACACGCACACCTAGAGCCAGCCCGCCAGGCGGACCGCTCACGGTGGCCGTCCTCGGCTGAATCAGCCCCCCAGGCTGCGGTCTGGTCAAAGGGGCTCACTGGCGGACTTGAGTGACCAGTGACTTCTGGGACGTGGTGGCCACAGATTGGACGGGAGAGAGAAGGCCGGGTTCAACAGGGCCTGTGCCCAGCCAAGAGCAGAAGTCCCAGCCTCGTGGAAGGGGAAGCCCCTGCCTGGCAGCTGCCTGGGGCGTCCGCTCTGGATGAGGCTGCAGTGTGTGTATGCGCATCTTTTAGTGTTTGGAGACGCCTAGGATCCTACTCATGCACCGTCTTGCCCAGTTCAAACTGCTGAAAACAGGCTCCGGAGGGCCAGGCTGGTCCCCCATCTTCCCTCCACCGTAGCTGGCCCGCTTGGCCCTTCCTTCCAGAGACGCGGCCTCAGGGGCCGGCACCGCATGAGGGTGGCAGGGACCCATCTGTCCCAGCATCCGGCCGGGTGAGGTGCACCCACAGGTTAAGTGGGGGTGGAGGAGTGGCCGGAGGGATCTTCAGAAAACTCTCAAGTTTTATTTCCAGTTTCATTTTCACTCTGCCTGGCAACTTCTCCACTGTGGATCCCTTTCTGGCCAGTTCTTCCCAAACGTGGGTGGATATCTCCGGCTGGAGCCCTGGGCTCCCTGCGCCCACCAGGAGAGGACGGCTGCAGAGATGACGCATGGCCCCTGCTGGGTCGCAGGGCAGAGCGGTGTCACACGGGTGCACACCTGGAGAATGTGGGCGAGGAACTGATATTCCAAGCATTTCCTGTTTCAAGGGGCCTCCTCCTCCTCCTTTATCTTTTATTCTTAATATTGGTGCCAAAAGCTGGAATTCCCACGGCCTCCTACCTTTTGCACAGGCTGCACAGTGGCCCCAAAGATAGTCCACACCCTTGTCCCCAAACCCGTCAGCAGGGCCCTCGGTGGAAAAGGGGCCTCTGCAACACACTCAGGGGCCTGGGGACAGGAGTTCCTGAGCCACCCTGAGGCCCGAAATCCAGTAACAAGTGACCGACCTCAGAAGGCAAGCTCAGCAAGGACAAATGGCCCTGCAGGCTGAGGGGGACAGGGATCCCTCTGGGGAGCCAGCCCCCAGACGCCACAGGCTCCAAGCTGACCAGGGGCCACCAGTGCAGTCCACTGTCACAGCCGGAAGCCCAGGCTCCTCCACAGCCTCCTCAGCCACAGCCACACCTCAGGGATCCTGAAGCCTGTGGTCCCCAGCCCCGGTCAGTGGGGACACTTTGTCCCCAGGAGAGAGCTGGATGCTGGAGTCCCCTAACAGGACAAGAGGCGAGGAGCACAGGCTCAGAGGTACTCAGTGCGGACCCCATGAGCCAGCATCCACAGCTGACTTCCACCCTGACTTGACTTCCGGCCCCAGGCCGTGGGGAAATCTCTGTCCCCATCCCGTGTGCAGAACGTAGTGACAGTGGCAGT